CCCAAAAAAATAAAAAAAAAAACATATTGTAAAAGTGGTTATCCCACTGGCTATAAGGTGAATGCAACCAATTTGTAAGTGGCTTCTGGATAAGAGCGTCTGCTAAATGAACGTTAAGACATGTAAATGTAAATTACCTGGACAGAACTGCTAGAACTCCATTACCAGATTCAGACTACAGTAACATGGATCTTAATGTGCTGAAATTCACCCTCCTTTGCTGTGAATTACCTGCTGATTGATTATTTTATCTCTGGTTAGGTTATACCTCTGTTGTTCTGTAAAGTCTATTGTCTGTCTCAATCAGAGTATTATTACACTACCGTTCAAAAGTTTTGGGTTCAACTTAGAAATGTCCTTTGTTTTCGAAAAGAAAATCAATTTTTTTGTCCATTAAAATAACATCAAATTGATCAGAAATACAGTGTAGACATGGTTAATGTTGTAAATGGCTATTTGTAGCTGGAAACAGTTGAAAAGGCGACTCCGGGATGCTGACCTTTAGGCAGGGTCCAAAGAAAAAAGCCATATCTCAGACTGGCCAATAAAAATAAAAGAGTCGCCTCTTCACTGTGACGTTAGGACTGGTGTTTTTGCGGGTACTATTTAATGAAGCTGCCAGTTGAGGACTGTGAGGCGTCTGTTTCTCAAACTAGACACACTAATGTATTTGTCCTCTTGCTCAGTTGTGCACCGGGGCCTCCCACCCCTTTTTCTATTCTGGTTAAAAACCAGTTTGGCTGTTTGTGAAGGGGAGAAAGTACCCCCAAGGTTGAGGGGAGATCTCATTTTCGGGGCAATTTCTCCAGGGAAAGCCTTCATTTCTCAGAACAAAGAATAGACGAGAGTTCAAAGAAATTATTTGTTTTGGCCATTTTGATCTGAAAAACCCCAAAAGCTGATGCCCAAAACTAAACTAGTCTCAAGAAGGGCGTTTTTATTGCTTTTTTAATCAGCATTTCACAAATAATTAAAAAAGGTTTTAATTTATAAATTAGTTTTTTAAAAGATCAACTTGGGATTACCCCAAAACAAACGTGCCATTGGAACACGGGACTGTTTGGGGGTTGCTGATAATGGCCTCTGTAGCCTTTAGTTTTCATAAAAAATTCAGCCGTTTCCATCCAATACCCTTTAAACATTAAAAGTCTACACTGTATTTCGGATCAATTTTGTTTTTTTAAGGGACAAAAAAAAGAAGCTTTTTTTTAAAAAAGGAAAAATTTCAAGTGACGCCAACTTTTGAACGGTAGGTTTTACTAAAATAAAAAGGAACTCACCCCCTAGGGACACGCCGGAAATCCCGTCTTTGGTTCTGGAACATTTTTTGTGTTTTCCCTTGATCCCCTTGTCAGCACAGGGATCACCCAAATCACAGCCATAAAAAAACAAAAAGGAACAAAGAATCGGCCCATGAAACCCCAAGAGGAGTAATGGAGGGAACAACGGGGCGCTGGGGTGAGGACAGAGGCCATGTTGATCCCTAGATCTAACAGACTGGCGTGTGGTGAAGGACAGAGGACCATGTTGATCCCTCTGTCAAACAACTGGTGCGGGTGGGAAGGCCCGAGGACCATGTTACCCTAGATCAAACAGAGGGTGTGGGTGAAGGAAGGGGGCCATGTGATCCCTATGATCAAACAGGGGTGCTGTGGGGGAAGGAGCAGAGGCCCATGTTGATCCTACTATCTAACAGACTGGTGCGGGGGAAAGGGACAGGGCCATTTTGATCCCTACTGTCTAACAGATGGTGCTTGGGGGAAGGAGACGAGGACCATGTTGATCCCTATATTAAAGAGGGGGCTGGGTGAAGGGAGACAGGGGGACCATTTTTTTGACCCTACTGATTAACAATGGTGCTTGGTGAGGAAGGGGGACCATTTTGATCCCTACTGATCTAACAGACTGGTGCTTTTGGGTGAAGGACAGAGGACCATGTGATCCTACTGACTAAAGACTGGGCTGTGGTGAAGGACGGGGACCATGTTGATCCCAAAATTCTAACAGCGGTGCGGGGGAAAGGACGGGGACCATTTTGATCCCCCTGATCTAAAAAGGGTGTGGGGGAAAGGACAGAGGACCTTTTTATCCCTACTGACTAACAGACTGTCGTGGTGAAGGACAAGGACCATTTTTGCCCCCCGGATCAACAGACGGTGCTTGGGGGGGAGACAGAGGACCATTTTTCCCCTCGACTAAACAGACGGGTCTGTGGTGGGACAGAGGCCCATTTGATCCCTCACAGATTAAAGGGGTTTTTTCCCTGAAAGGGGTTAAGGTGGAATGAAGGGAAAAGTTTCCCCGGGGGGAAGACTACCTGTAGATCAGGGGGTCAAACCGTTTTCGGGTGATGACCTCTTGACGACCTGAGTGAAAACGACAGATATGAACCCAACGGGGAAATGGACAGGCAGTTTTTTCCCATTCGAAGAGAAAAGATGAAAAGAGGAGAGAAGGGGGGGAGGGAAAGGAAAAGGGGGGAAAAGAGGGGGGGGGGGGGGGAAGGGGTTTGGGGGAGAAGAAGGGGAAGAGAAAAGAGGAGAGAAGAGGGGGGAGAGAGAACAAAATAATCAAACACTGTGTGGTGTGGGTGTCCCTTCCCCAGGGGTAGGTTGGTAGGGCCCCATGCTGTAAAGGATGTTGATGATGTGGGGGTTTTCCCCTTTCCCCCCATGGAGTTTTGGGTAGGGCTCCTCTTAAAGGGTTTTTGAGATGTGTGGTTCTTACCCCCAGGGGGGTAGTGTTGGGTAGGGCTCCATGCTGTAACAGGATGTTGATGATGTGTGTGTCTCCTTACCCCAGTGGTAGTGTTGGGTAGGGCTCCATGCTGTAACAGGATGTTGATGATGTGTGTGTCTCCTTACCCCAGTGGTAGTGTTGGGTAGGGCTCCATGCTGTAACAGGATGTTGATGATGTGTGTGTCTCCTTACCCCAGTGGTTGGGGGTTTTGCCATGTTTTGGTAACGGTTTTGATGATTGTGTGTCCCCTTCCCCCATGGTATGTTGGGTAGGGCTCCTTCTGAACGGAAATTTGATGAGTGTGTGCCCTTCCCCCGTGGTAATGTTGGGTGGGGGTCCTGCTTTAACCGGTTTTTGATGATGGGTTTTCCCCCCAAGGGGGATTTTGGGGTAGGGCCCCACTGTAACGATGTTGATGTGTGGTGTCCCCTTACCCCGTGGTATTGGGTAGGGGGCCCATGCTGTAACAGAATTTTGATTGGTTGGTTTTTCCCTTACCCCGGGTAGTGTTGGGTAGGGCTCCATGCTGTAACAGGATGTTGATGATGTGTGTTTTCCCCTTTTTACCCAGTTTTTAGTTTGGGTGGGGTCCATGTTTGAACAGGATTTTTGATGATGTGGTGCTCCTTACCCAGGGGTAGTTTTGGGTGGGCCCATGCTGTAACGGACTTTTATGATGGTGTGTCTTTACCCAGTGGTATTTGGTAGGGCTCCTGGAAAAGGAGTTGAGTTTTGTGTGTGTCCCCTTCCCCCCCGGGGGTTTGTGTGGGGTAGGGCCAGCGAAAACAGGATGTGAGATGGGGTTGTCTCCTTACCCCGGGTAGTGGGGGGTAGGGCTCCACTGTAACAGGTTGAGGGTTGTGTTCCACCCCATTGGTAGTGTTGGGTGGGGTCCATGCTGAACAGGATTTTGATGTTGTGTGGTCCCCTTTTACCCCAGTGGTAGTGTTGGTAGGGCCCCATGCTGAAAAGGGGATGTGATAGTGTGGGCTCCTTACCCCAGGGTGGTTGGGTAGGGCCCAGTTTTTACGGAAGTTTTGATGAGGTTTTTGGGCCCCTTCCCCCAGTGGTGGGTTTGGGTGGGGTCCATCTGTAACGGATGTTGATGAGTGGTGTCTCCTTACCCGTGGTAGTGTGGGTAGGGCCCCCATGTGAAACAGGATGTTGTTTGATTGTTGTTTCCCTACCCCATGTAGTGTGGGTAGGGCCCTGTTTGAAAAGGGGTTTTTGATGTGGTGTGTCTCCTTACCCCAGGGGTGGGTTTTTGGGTGGGGCCCCTGCTGTAACGGAGTTGAGGGGTTTTGGTTTTCCCCTACCCCGGGTAGTTTTGGGTAGGGGCTCCATGCTGAAAGGATGTTGATGATTGGTGTTCCTTACCCCCAGGGTGTGTTGGGGGGGGCCCTCCATTTTTAACAGGATGTTGAGGTGATGTCTCCTTCCCCCATGGTGTTTTGGGGTAGGGCTCCATGCTGGTAAAGGTTTTGATGATGTTGTTTCCTTACCCCCAGTGGAAAGTTTGGGTGGGGGCTCCATGCGTAAAGGGTTGGAGTGGTGTTCCTTCCCCCCAGTGGTAGTTTTGGGTGGGGCCCATGTTTAAAAAAGGGATGTTGAGATGTGGTGTCTCCTTACCCCATGGTAGGTTGGGTAGGGCTCCATGCTGAAAGGAGGGGTTTGATGATGTTTTGTTGCCCTTTCCCCTGGTATGGGGTGGGGGTCCATCTGTCAGAGTTGAGATGGGGGTTGTTTTTTCCCCCAGTGTATGTTGGGTAGGGCCCATGCTGTAAAGGACTTTGATGATGGTTTTTCCCCTGTGCGCCCTGGTGGAGCGGAGTGTAACCGTTCTGGAGACACAAACAGTTGAGTTTTAAATATTGACATCAAAACACACATTATACAGTAGCGGGGCCCCTTGGCTAGTGTAGAGCACGGGCTTGTAACGCCAAGGTATGGGGTTTGATCCCCGGGCCCCCCAAAAAAAATGAAACCCTGACGTAAGTCGTTTTGGGAAAAAAATCTGCAAAGGCATATTATTTTTAATTTTTAAAACACATTTTAACAAAAACACACCCAAACACAAAACCCCACAACAAACCCCTTACACCAGAAATAGAAAAAAAGAGGGAAAGAGAACAGGAGAGACAGACAAACAGTCAGTAGTTTGGGGTTTTTAAAAAATTTTAAATCCAAAAAGTCACCAATGTCACTAATGAAGTTGCTACTGGTGCGGTACCTTACAAGTTCTAATATTACATTCTGGTACCTTGGTTTTGGCGTTGACACTGGCACCCTGCTGCAAGAGGAAGTTGACCATCTTTACGTTTCCATAGTGACAGGCAACTATGAGAGGGGTGTAGCCGAGCTGAGGAAGACAAGATAAAGACGTTAGGAAAAAGAGAGTGTGTGTGTGCGTGTGTGTGTGTGGGTGGGTGTGGTGTGTGTGAGTGTGTGTGGGCGTGTACCTTGGTTTGCTGGTCCAGGTTAGCGTCACATTTGGCCAGAACTTCTGCTGCATTCACTCTGTCCTCCTGAGTGTGAGGTGGAGGGGTGTCAGACCACTCTGAGAGATGGAGAGAGAGGGGGAGATGGGGGGAGGGAGAGAGAGAGGTGGAGGAGAGAGATGGCGAGGGGGAGAGAGAGGAGAGAGTTGGAGGAGAGAGATGGAGGCCGGAGAGAGGGAGAGAAGAGATGGAGGGGAGAGAGAGAGAGTTAGAGGAGAGAGAGTTGGAGAGAGAGATGGAGGGGGAGGAGAGAGGAGAGAGAGATGGAGGGGGAGGAGAGAGAGGAGAGAGTTGTGGAGAGAGATGAGGGGGAGAGAGAGGTGATGGAGAGAGAGAGTTGGAGGGGGAGATGGAGGGGGAGAGAGGAGATGGAGGGGGAGAGAGAGAGTGAGATGGTTGTGAGAGATGGAGGGGGAGAGAGAGAGAGAGAGTTGGAGAGAGAGTGGAGGGGGAGAGAGAGAGAGAGATTGGAGGAGAGGAGGAGAGATGGGGAGCGGGGGAGAGAGAAGGGGAGGGGGAGAGAGAGAGTTGTTGAGAGTTGAGAGAGATGGAGGGGTAAGAGAGAGGAGGATGAGAGAGTTTGTGAGAGAGATGGAAGGGGGAGGAGGAGAGATGAGAGTTGGAGAGAGAGATGGGAAGGGGGGAGAGAGATGAGAGTTGGCGAGAGAGATGGAGGGGGAGAGAGAGAGAGAGAGTGAAGTGGAGAGAGAGGATGGGAGGTGGGAGAGAGAGAGAGAGCGTTGGAGGAGAGAGATGGGAGGGGGGGAGGAGAGAGAGGAAGAGACGTATGGGTATTGCTAGAGCGATATTGGATGTGTGCTCAACTCTGCTTAGTGTGTGTGTGTGAGTCTCTGTCCCCCTACCTTAGTAGGAGTGTTGACGTGTGCCCCCCTTGCCCAGCAGGAGGGTGGTCATATCACTGTGCCCCTCCTGTGAGGCCAGGTGTAGAGGGGTCACCCCCTGTTTGGTCAGGACGTTGGTCTCCGCTCCGTAGTGCAGCAGAGACGAGGCGATGGACGTCTGGTTCTTCTTGGCCGCGATGTGGAGGGGGGTGTAGCCATTCTGAGAGCAGAGAGGATTGTGGGTAGGAGGAATATGTCAGATACTGCAATAAGAACCATTTAGGTCCTGAGATGAGGATTACAATTCATTTGAGGTAAACAGTTAGTGTTTGATAACTGGATAGTTTTAGGGTACGGTTCAACAAGTAGTGTTATTATAGGGGATTCTAGTTATGGGTCCTGAGTCAACAGTAGGTTTATATAGGGGATAGTCTTATGGGTCTGGTCAAAAGTAGTGTTAATAGGGATAGTCTTATGGGTCTGGTCAACAGTAGTGTTATATAGGGGATAGTCTTATGGTCCTGGCAACCAGTGTGTTATATAGTGGATAGTATTATGTGTCTGGTCAACAGTAGGTTATATAGGGGGATCTAGGGGATAGTTTATGGGTCCTGGCAACGTAGTGTAATAGGGATAGTCTATGGGTCATGGTCACAGTAGTGTTATATAGGGGATTAAGTCGTATGGGTCCTGCGTAACAGTGGTGGTGTATATAGGGGATAGTCTTATGGGTCCTGGTCAACAGTGGTGTTATATAGGGGATAGTCTTATGGGTCCTGGTCAACAGTAGTGTTATATAGGGGATAGTCTTATGGGTCCTGGTCAACAGTAGTGTTATATAGGGGATAGTCTTATGGGTCTGGTCAACAGTAGTTGTTAATAGGGATAGTCTAGGGTCCTGAGTCAACATAGGTTATTAAGGGGATAGTCTTAGGGTCCTGCGTCAACACGTAGCGTTATATAGGGGATAGTATTATGGTTCATGCGTCTCAACAGTAGTGTATATAGGGGATTAGTCTTATGGGTTCCTGGGCAACAGTGGTTTTGTTATTTTTTATAGGGGATGGATTTTAATAGTCTTATGGGTCCTGCGTCAACAGTAGTGTTTATAGGGGATAGTTTTATGGGTCTGGTCAACAGTAGTGTTATATAGGGGGAATAGTCTTATGGGTACTGGTCAAACAGTGGTGGTTTGGTGTATATAGGGGATAGTCTTAGGGGTCCGGTCAACAGTATGTTATATAGGGGATAGTCTTATGGGTCCTGGTCAACAGTAGTGTTATATAGGGGATAGTCTATGGGTCCTGGTCAACAGTAGTGATATATAGGGGATAGTCTTATGGGTCCTGGTCAACAGTAGTGTTATATAGGGGATAGTCTTATGGGTCCTGGTCAACAGTAGTGTTATATAGGGGATAGTCTTATGGGTCCTGGTCAACAGTGGTGTTATATAGGGGATAGTCTTATGGGTCCTGGTCAACAGTGGTGTTATATAGGGGATAGTCTTATGGGTCCTGGTCAACAGTGGTGTTATATAGGGGATAGTCTTATGGGTCCTGGTCAACAGTAGTGTTATATAGGGATAGTCTTATGGGTCCTGGTCAACAGTAGTGTATGATAGGGGATAGTATTATGGGTCCTGGTCACACAGTAGTGTTATATAGGGGATAGTCTTAGGGGTCCTTTTTGGTCAACAGATAGTGTTATATAGGGATAGTATTATGGGTCATGGTCAACGTAGTGTTTATATAGGGGAAGTATATGGTACTGGTCAACAGTGGTGGGATATATGGGGATTAGTCTTATGGGTCCTGGTCAAACAGTGGTGTTATATAGGGATAGTCTAGGGTCATGATCAACAGTAGTGTTATATAGGGGAGAGTCTTATGGGTCCTGAGTCCACACAGTAGTGTTATTAGGGGAGAGTCTTAGGGTCCTGGTCAACAGTAGTGTTAATATAGGGGATTAGTCATGGGCCTGGTCAACAGTAGTGTTCTATAGGGATAGTATTATGGGTCCTGGTCAAAGTAGTGTTATATAGGGGATCGTCTTGGGTCCTGGTAACAGTAGTGTTATATAGGGGATGTCTTATGGGTCCTGGTAACAGTGGTGTTATATAGGGGATAGGTTTCTTATGGGTCTGCGTACAACAGTAGTGTTATATAGGGGGAATTTCGTTTATGGCGGTCCTGGTCAAACAGTAGTGTTATATAGGTGGATAGCTTTATGGTCACTGGGCAACAGTGGTGTTATATAGCGGTTAGTCTTATGGGTCCTGGGGTCAAACAGTGGTGTTAATAGGGGATAGCTTAGGGTCATGGTAAACGTAGGTATATAGTGGATAGTTACTGAAGGGTCTCCTTGGTCAACAGAGTGTATTATAGGGATAGTCTAGGGGTCTGGTCAACAGTTAGTAGTGTTATATGGGATTAGTTAGGGTCCTGGTCAACAGTTGGTGTATATGGGGATAGTCTTATGGGTCCTGGTAACAGTAGTGTATATAGGGTGATAGTCTTATGGGTCATGGTAACAGTGGTGTTTGTATAGGGGATAGTCTTATGGGGCTGGGTCAACAGTGTGGTATATAGGGATAGTATGATGGGTTTGCGTCACAACAGTAGTGGTACATAGGGGATAGTTTATGGGTCCTGGTCAACAGCTAGTGTTAAGTAGGGGATGATAGTCTTATGGGGTCCTGGTCAACAGAGTGTTAGAATAGGGGATATAGTCTATGGGTCCTGGTCACCGTGGTGTTATATAGGGATAGTCTTATGGGTCCTGGGTCAACAGTAGTTGTATATAGGGGATAGTCTGATGCGGTCCTGGTCAACAGTGGTGTTAATAGGGGATATCTTAGGGTCTGGTCAACAGTGGTGGTTATATAGGGGATATCTATGGGTCCTGGTCAACAGTAGTAGTGTTATATAGGGGATAGTCTTATGGGTCCGAGTCAACAGTGGTGTTGTGGATTATAGGTGGTAGTCTTATGGGCCCTGCAGTCAACAGTGGTGTTATATAGGGGATAGTCTTATGGGGTCCTGGGTCAACAGTGGTGTTATATAGGGGATAGTCTATGGTCCTGAGTCAAAGTAGTAGGTTATATAGGGGATAGTATTATGGGTCCTGGTCAACAGTGTGTTATATCGTGGATAGTATTATTGGGTCCTGGTCAACAGTAGCTGTTATATAGCGGGATATAGTCTTATGGGGTCCCCTGGTCAACTAGTGGTGTTATATAGGGGATAGTATTATGGGTTCCTGGTCAACAGTAGTGTTATATAGGGGATAGTATTATGGGTCTCTTCTGTCTCGTCTTTCCTGGTCAACAGTGGTGTTATATAGGGGGGATAGTCTTATGGGTCCTGTCACAGTAGGTTAGATAGGGATAGTCGTATGGGTCTGGTCAACAGTGGTGTATATATGGGGATGTCTTAATGGGGCCTTGGTCAACAGTAGGTATATAGGGGATAGGTCTTATGGGTCCTGGTCAAATAGTAGATGTGCTATAGGGGATTAGTCTAGGGGTCCTGGTCACAGTAGTGTTATATAGGGGATATTTTAGGGTCCTGGTTCAACAGTGGTGTGTAACTATATAGGGGAGGGATAGTCTTATAGTGCCTGGTCAACAGTAGTGTGATATAGGGGATAGTCTTATGGGGTCATGGTAACATAGTGTTATATAGGGGATAGTCTTATGGGTCCTGGTCAACAGTAGTGTTATATAGGGGATAGTCTTATGGGTCCTGGTCAACAGTAGTGTTATATAGGGGATAGTCTTATGGGTCCTGGTTCAACAGTAGTGTTATATAGGGGATAGTCTTATGGGTCCGGTCAACAGTAGTGTTAATAGGGGATAGTTTAGGGGGTTTCTGGTCAACACAGTTAGTGTTATAAGGGGATAGTCTATGGGTCTGGTTCAACAGTAGTGTGATATGAGGGACTTATAGTCTTATGGGTCCTGGTCAACAGTAGTGTTATATAGGGGATAGTCTTATGGGTCCTGGTCAACAGTAGTGTTATATAGGGGATAGTCTTATGGGTCCTGGTCAACAGTAGTGTTATATAGGGGATAGTCTTATGGGTCCTGGTCAACAGTAGTGTTATATAGGGGATAGTCGTAGGGTCCTGGTCAACAGAGTGGTATATAGGGGATAGTCTATGGGGTCATGGTCAACAGTATCGTGTTATATAGGGGCTAGTCTATGGGTCCTGGTCAACAGAGTGTTATATCGGGGATAGTCTATGGGTCCTGGTCAAACGTAGGCTATATAGTGATAGTCTATGGGTCCATGTGTCAACCAGTAGTGTTTATATAGGGGATAGTCTTAGGGTCCTGGGTCAACAGTAGTGTTATTATTTTTTTTTGGGGATAGTCTATGGGTCCTGCGGGTCAACAGTAGTGTATATAGGGATGATAGTCTTAGGGGGTCCTGGGTCAACAGTAGTGTTTATATAGGGGATAGTCTTAGGGGTCCTGGTCAACAGTAGTGTTATATAGGGGACAGCTAGCGGGTTCCTGAGTCAACAGTAGTGTTTCGTGTTATATAGGGGATAGTATTAGGTCCTGAGTCAAAAGTAGGGTATATAGGGGATAGTCTTATGGTCCTGGTCACATGTGTTATATAGGGATATAGTTCTTATGGGGTCCTGGTCAACAGTAGTGTTATATAGGGGATAGTCTTATGGGTCCTGGTCAACAGTAGTGTTATATAGGGGATAGTCTTATGGGTCCTGGTCAACAGTAGTGTTATATAGGGATAGTGTTGGGTCCTGGTTCAACAGTAGTGTTTATATAGGGATAGTCTTATGGGTCACTGGTCTCAACAGTTAGTGTTATATAGTGGATAGTCTTATGGGTCCTGGTCAACAGTAGGTGTTATATAGGGATAGTCTTATGGGTCCTGGTCAACAGTAGTGTTATATAGGGGATAGTCTTATGGGTCCTGGTCAACAGTAGTGTTATATAGGGGATAGTCTTATGGGTCCTGGTCAACAGTAGTGTTATATAGGGGATAGTCTTATGGGTCCTGGTCAACAGTAGTGTTTATCAACTGATAGTCTTATGGGTACTGCGCAACAGTTAGTGTTATAGTGTTAGTATAGGGGATAGTCTTATGGGTCATGGTCAACAGTGGTGGTTAGATAGGGGAATATATGGGTCTGGGCAACAGTGATGTTATATAGGGGCTTTTAAAGTCTTATGGCGTCCTGGTCAACAGTGGTGAGGGTTATTATATAGGGGATAGTCTTATGGGTCCTGGTCAACAGTGGTGTTATATAGGGGATAGTCTTATGGGTCCTGGTCAACAGTGGTGTTATATAGGGGATAGTCTTATGGGTCCTGGTCAACAGCGGTGTTATATAGGGGATAGTCTTATGGGTCCTGGTCAACAGTGGTGTGAATAGTGAATAGTCTTATGGGTCTGTGTAAAAGTATGGGGTTTATTATAGTGGGATAGTTTATGGGCTCCTGGTCAAACAGTGGTGTTATATAGGGGATAGTCTTATGGGTCCTGGTCAACAGTAGTGTTATATAGTGGATAGTCTTATGGGTCCTGGTCAACAGTAGTGTATATAGGGGATAGTCTTATGGGTCCTGGTCAACAGTGGTGTTATATAGTGGATAGTCTTATGGGTCCTGGTCAACAGTAGTGTTATATAGGGGATAGTCTTATGGGTCTGGTCAACAGTAGTGTTATATTAGGGATGGATAGGTCTTAGTGGTCCTGGTTTCAACAGTAGTGTTATTATAGGGATAGTCTATGGGTCCTGGTCAACCAGTAGTGTTATATAGGGGATGATAGTCTTTGGGTCATGGGTCAACAGTAGTGTATAGATAGGGGATAGTCTTAGGGTCCTGGTCAAACAGTAGTGTACATATAGGGGGATAGTCTTATGGGTCCTGGTCAACAGTAGGTTATATAGTGGATAGTCTATGGTCACTGGTCAACAGGTAGTGTTATATAGGGGATAGTCTTAGGTCCTGGTCAAACAGTAGTGTTATATAGTGGATGTCTTATGGGTCCTTGGTTCAACAGTGTGTTATATAGGGGATAGTATTATGGGTCCTGGTCAAACAGTAGTGTATATAGGGGATAGTCTATGGGCATGGTCAACAGTAGTGTTATCTTATAGGGGATGTCTATGGGTCCTGGTCAACAGTAGTGTACTATATAGGGGATAGTCTTATGGGTCCTGGTCAACAGTAGTGTTATATAGTGGATAGTCTTATGGGTCCTGGTCAACAGTAGTGTTATATAGGGGATAGTCTTATGGGTCCTGGTCAACAGTAGTGTTATATAGGGGATAGTCTTATGGGTCCTGGTCAACAGTAGTGTTAATATAGGGGATAGTCTTATGGGTCCTGGTCAACAGTAGTGTACTATATAGGGGATAGGGTGGCATTTCAGATGCATCCATGGATGGAGTTGAAATTGTTTTGTATACTGTTCATTATATAAAAAATAGAGTGAAACGGGAGGCCCACTATTGACATTGTTTTCTTTTCGTCCCCACACAAAAGGTTTTAAAATTTGTTCTGTAAAAAATATCCCTAATGAACAGGACCCAGGAGGTGCTATCTAAACGTGGCCATGGAAAACATTTAGAAAGGCTTTCCCTCCAGGGGGTGTGTTTTCTGACCTTGGCGGTGGCGTGGGCGGACCGCCCCCCCTTTATCAGCCGCGCAGCGCCACCTGCGGTTGTATAGTGGAGCTGCCAAGTGGCAGCGGAGGTCAGAACGTTTCGGGAGGAGAGGAACATCACCACACTGTAAACGGCTCATCATTCATCTATCCTCTCTTGTTAAACTCTAAATATTCGTAACAATAGATGTAGAGAGATCTGAGAGAGATAGAGCTATGACTCTATAGCTACATCTGATATATACTGTAGAGGAGAGAGAGAGAGAGACGAGAGAGAGAGAGCAGAAGAGAGAGATGAGAGAGAAAAGAGAGAGAGAAGGAGAGGGGGGGGAAAAAGCGAGAAAGAGAGAGAGAAAGAGAGAGAGTAGCAGAAAGGAAGGAAACAGACGAGAGAAGAGGAGAGAGAAAGAGAGGAGAGAGAGAAGGACGATAGGAAAGAGAGAGAGAGGAGAAGGAGAGGACAGAAGAAGAGAGCAGAGAGGAGAGGGAAGAGAGAGAGAGACGAGAAGGGAGATCGAAAGAGAGAGAGAGAGGAGAGCGAAGGAGAGGGGAAGAGAGAAAGAGAGCTAGAGAGAGAAAGGAAGATAAGGAAGGGGAAAAGAGAGAGAGAGAGGATGAAGGAGAGGAAAAGCCTCTCTCTATCTCTCTCTCCTTCGTCTGCCTCCTCTTCTCCCTCTCTCTCTCATCTCTCTCTTCTCTCTCCCTTCTCTGTTCATCTCTCGCTCTCTCTCCTTCTCTGCCCTCTCTCTCTCTCTCTCTCTCTCTCTCTCTCTCTCCTTCTCTGTCATCTCTCTCCTTCTCTCTATTCATTCTCTCCTTGTGCCCTCTCTCTCTCCTTCTATAATCGATTTCTATGATAACACCATTCTAGTGATAACACCATTCTAGTTATTGTATTTCTATGATAACACCATTCTAGTTATTGTATTTCTAGTTATTTTATTTCTGTGATATGACCAGTTCTAGTTATTGTATTTCTAGTTATTGTATTTCTGTGATAAGACCATTTCTAGTTATTGTATTTCTATGATAACACCATTCTGGTTATTGTATTTCTATGATAACACCATTCTAGTTATTGTATTTCTGTGATAACAGCAGTTCTAGTTATTGTATTTTAGTTATTTGATTTCTGGTGTGATAGACCGTTCTAGTTATTGTTATTTCAGTTATTGTATTTCTGTGATAAGACCAGTTAGTTATTGTATTTCTATGATAACACCAGCTCTAGTTGCTGTATGTCTATGATAATACCTTGCCGGCGTCGTCGGGCATAGCTTTGCGCTGCAGGAGGAGTTTTGCCACCTCCAGGCTTCCATACTTGGCTGCTACATGTAGAGGAGTGAATCCTTTCTGTAAGGGGGGAAGGATACATGTAGAGGTGAGGATCCTTTCTGTAAGGGGGGAAGGATACATGTAGAGGTGAGGATCCTTTCTGTAAGGGGGGAGGGATCAGGGATACAGTGGTAGAGGTGATGATACCTTTCTGTAAGGGGGGAAAAGGGAGAGGAACTGTAGAGGTGAGGATCCTTTCTGTAAGGGGGGAGGGATCGGGGGGAGGGCACCTGTAGAGGTTGAGGATCCTTTTGTAGGGCGTGGAGGGATACATGTGGAGGTGAGGATCCTTTCTGTAAGGGGGGAGGGATACATGTAGAGGTGAGGATCATTTCTGTAAGGGGGGAAGGATACATGTAGAGGTGAGGATCCTTTCTGTAAGGGGGGAAGGATACATGTAGAGGTGAGGATCTTCTTGTTAGGGGGAGGAAGGATACATTGTAGATGGTGAGGATCCTTTCTGTAAGGGGGGAAGGATACATGTAGAGTGAGGATCCTTTCTGTAAGGGGGGAAGGATACATGTAGAGGAGAGGAGGTAGATACAGCTTTGTGTGTGTGTATATGTAGTTATGTGTGTGTCCTACATTGGTGGCCAGTTGTGTGTGTGTGTGTGTGTGTGTGTGTGTGTGTGTGTGTGTGTGTGTGTGTGTGTGTGTGTGTGTGTGTGTGTTTGTGTGAGTATACAGAGCATTCGGAAAGTATTCAGACCTCTTCATTTTTTCCACATTTTGTTACGTTACAGCCTTATTCTAAAATTGATTAAATTAATGTTTTTACTCATCAATCTACACACAATACCCGATAATGGAAAGGCGAAAACAGGTTTTTAGAAATGTTTACAAATATATTACAAATAAAAAACAGAAATACCTTATTTACATAAGTATTCAGACCCTTTGCTATGAGACTCGAAATTGAGCTCAGGTGCATCCTGTTTCCTTTGATCATCCTTGAGATGTTTCTACAACTTGATTGGAGTCCACCTGTGGTAAATTCAATTGGTTGGACATGATTTGGAAAGGCACACACCTGTCTATATAAGGTCCCACAGTTGACAGTGCATGTCAGAGCAAAAACCAAGCCATGAGGTCGAAGGAATTGTCCATAGAGCTCCGAGACAGGATTGTGTCGAGGCACAGATCTGGGGAAGGGTACCAAAAAATGTCTGCAGCATTGAAGGTCACCAAGAACACAGTGGCCTCCATCATTCTTAAATGTAAGAAGTTTGGAACCACCAAGACTCTTCCTAGAGCTGGCCGCCCGACCAAACTGAGCAATCGGGGGAGAAGGGCCTTGGTCAGGGAGGTGACCAAGTACCCGATGGTCACTCTGACAGAGCTCCAGAGTTCCTCTGTGGAGATGGGAGAACCTTCCAGAAGGACAACCATCTCTGCAGCACTCCACCAATCAGGCCTTTATGGTAGAGTGGCCAGAAGGAAGCCACTACTCAGTAAAAGGCACATGACAGCCCGCTTGGAGTTTGCCAAAAGGCACCTAAAGACTCTCTGACCATGAGAAACAAGATTATCTGGTCTGTTGAAACCAAGATTGAACTCTTTGGCCTGAATGCCAAGCGTCACGTCTGGAGGAAACCTGGCACCATCCTTACGGTGAAGCATGGTGGTGGCAGCATCATGCTGTGGGGATGTTTTTCAGCGGCAGGGACTGGGAGACTAGTCAAGATCGAGGGAAAGATGAACGGAGCAAAGTACAGAGAGATCCTTGATGAAAACCTGCTCCAGAGCGCTCAGGACCTCAGACTGGGGTGAAGGTTCACCTTCCAACAGGACAACGACCCTAAGCACACAGCCAAGACAACGCAGGAGTGGCTTTGGGACAAGTCTCTGAATGTCCTTGAGTGGCCCAGCCAGAGCCCGGACTTGAACCCAATCGAACATCTCTGGAGAGACCTGAAAATAGCTGTGCAGCGACGCTCCCCATCCAACCTGACAGAGCTTGAGATGATCTGCAGAGAAGAATGGGAGAAACTCCCCAAATACAGGTGTGCCAAGCTTGTAGCGTCATACCCAAGAAGACTTGAGGCTGTAATCGCTGCCAAAGGTGCTTCAACAAACTTCTGAGTAAAGGGTCTGAATACTTATGTAAATGTGATATACAAAGTTTTTACTTTGTCATTATGGGGTATTGTGTGTAGATTGATGAGATGAAAAAATAAAATCCATTTTAGAATAAGGCTGTAACGTAACAAAATGTGTAAAAAGCGAAGGGGTCTGAATACTTTCTGAATGCACTGTATATATATATATATACACTGAGTATACCAAACATTAAGAACACCTTCCTAATATTGAGTTTCATTCCCTCCATTTGCCCTCAGAACAGCCTCAATTCTTCGGGGCATGGACTCTACAAGGTGTCAAAAGCGCTCCACAGGGATGCTGGCCCCATGTTGACTCCAATGCTTCCCACAGTTGTGTCAAGTTGGCTGGATGTCCTTTGGGTGGTGGACCATTCTTGATACACACGGGAAACTGTTTGAGCGTGAAAAACCCAGCAGCGTTGTATGTTTTTGACACACTACAACCGGTGCGCCTGGCACCTATTACCATACCCCGTTCAATGGCACTTCCATCTTTTGTCTTGCCCATTCACCCTCTGAATGGCAACACATACACAATCCATGTCTCAATTGTCTCAAGGCTTAAAAACTCCTTCTTTAACCTGTCTCCTCCCCTTCATATACACTGATTGAAGTGGATTTTAACAAGTGACATCATAAGGGATCATAGCTTTCACCTGGATTCACCTGGTCAGTCTGTCATGAAAGAGCATGGTGTCCTTAATGTTTTGTACAATCAGTGTCTCTGTATAGTTGTGTGTTTCTCTGTATAGTTGTGTGTGTTTCTCTGTATGTTGTGTGTGTATATTTGGTTTCTCTGGATAAGTTGTGTGTTTCTCTGTTATATTGTGTGTGTGTATCGGTATAGTTGTGTGTGTGTTCTCTGTAGAGTTGGGTGTGTCTTCTGTATAGTTGTGTGTGTTTCTCTGTATAGTTGTGTGTTTCCTGTATAGTTGGGTGTTCTATGGATTTAGTTGTGTGTGTGTTATGTATAGTGTGTGTGGGGGTGTCGTGTGTTGTCTACTGTAATAAGTTGTGTGTGGTCTCTGATAGTTGTGTGTGTGTCTCTGTTATAGGTTGAGTGTGTGTTTTGTGTCTCTGTATAGTTGTGTGTTGTCTCGGTTATAGTTGGTGGTTTTCGCTGTATAGTTGTGTTGTGTCTCTGTATAGTTGGTGTTGTCTCTGTATAGTTGTGTTGTTTATGTTATAGTTGTGTGTTTTCTGTATAGTTGTGTTGTGTTTATGTATAGTGTGTGGTCTCTGTATAGTGGTGGTCTCTGTATAGTTGTTGTTGTCTCGGAGATAGGTGTGTGTTGTATATGTAGGTGTGTGTGTGTCTCTGTATAGTTGTGTGTGTCTCTGTATAGTTGTGTGTGTCTCTGTATAGTTGTGTGTTTCTCTGTATAGTTGTGTGTGTGTGTGTGTGTGTTTCTCTGTATAGTTGTGTGTGTTCTCTGTATAGTTGTGGTGTGTCTCTGTATAGTTGTGTGTGTTTCTCTGTATAGTTGTGTGTTTCTCTGTATAGTTGTGTGTTTCTCTGTATAGTTGTGTGTGTTTTTCTGTATAGTTGTGTGTTTCTCTGTATAGTTGTGTGTGTGTCTCTGTATAGTTGTGTGTGTTTCTCTGTATAGTTGTGTGTGTCTCTGTATAGTTGTGTGTTTCTCTGTATAGTTGTGTGTTTCTCTGTATACAGTGGGGGAAAAAAGTATTTAGTCAGCCACCAATTGTGCAAGTTCTCACACTTAAAAAGATGAGAGAGGTCTGTAATTTTCATCATAGGTACACGTCAACTATGACAGACAAATTGAGATTTTTTTTCTCCAGAAAATCACATTGTAGGATTTTTAATGAATTTATTTGCAAATTATGGTGGGAAAATAAGTATTTGGTCACCTACAAACAAGCAAGATTTCTGGCTCTCACAGACCTGTAACTTCTTCTTTAAGAGGCTCCTCTGTCCTCCACTCGTTACCTGTATTAATGGCACCTGTTTGAACTTGTTATCAGTATAAAAGACACCTGTCCACAACCTCAAACAGTCACACTCCAAACTCCACTATGGCCAAGACCAAAGAGCTGTCAAAGGACACCAGAAACAAAATTGTAGACCTGCACCAGGCTGGGAAGACTGAATCTGCAATAGGTAAGCAGCTTGGTTTGAAGAAATCAACTGTGGGAGCAATTATTAGGAAATGGAAGACATACAAGACCACTGATAATCTCCCTCGATCTGGGGCTCCATGCAAGATCTCACCCCGTGGGGTCAAAATGATCACAAGAACGGTGAGCAAAATTCCCAGAACCACACGGGGGACCTAGTGAATGACCTGCAGAGAGCTGGGACCAAGTAACAAAGCCTACCATCAGTAACACACTACGCCGCCAGGGACTCAAATCCTGCAGTGCCAGATGTGTCCCCCTGCTTAAGCCAGTACATGTCCAGGCCTGTCTGAAGTTTGCTAGAGTGCATTTGGATGATCCAGAAGAGGATTGGGAGAATGTCATATGGTCAGATGAAACCAAATATAACTTTTTGGTAAAAAACTCAACTCGTCGTGTTTTGGAGGACAAAGAACACCATACCTACTGTGAAGCATGGCGGTGGAAACATCATGCTTTGGGGCTGTTTTTTCTGCAAAGGGACCAGGATGACTGATCCGTGTAAAGGAAAGAATGAATGGGGGCCATGTATCGTGAGATTTTGAGTGAAAACCTCCTTCCATCAGCAAGGGCATTGAAGATGAAACGTGGCTGGGTCTTTCAGCATGACAATGATCCCAAACACACCGCCCGGGCAACGAAGGAGTGGCTTCGTAAGAAGCATTTCAAGGTCCTGGAGTGGCCTAGCCAGTCTCCAGATCTCAACCCCATAGAAAATCTTTGGAGGGAGTTGAAAGTCTGTGTTGCCCAGCGACAGCCCCAAAACATCACTGCTCTAGAGGAGATCTGCATGGAGGAATGGGCCAAAATACCAGCAACAGTGTGTGAAAACCTTGTGAAGACTTACAGAAAACGTTTGACCTGTGTCATTGCCAACAAAGGGTATATAACAAAGTATTGAGAAACTTTTGTTATTGACCAAATACTTATTTTCCACCATAATTTGCAAATAAATTCATTAAAAATCCTACAATGTGATTATCTGGAAAAAAAAATCTCATTTTCTCTGTCATAGTTGACGTGTACCTATGATGAAAATTACAGGCCTCTCTCATCTTTTAAGTGGGAGAACAATTGGTGGCTGACTAAATACTTTTTTCCCCCACTGTAGTTGTGTGTGTTTGTCTGTATAGTTGTGTGTGTATAGTGTGTATAGTTGTGTGTGTGTAGTTGTGTGTATCCTACCTTGGTAGCCAGTGAGTGTGAAGCCCCAGCCTCCAGCAACACAGCGGTTGTCTCTAACTGACCCTCCCTGGCAGCGATGTGTAGAGGAGTGTATCCATTAGTGGTGGAGGCGTCAGGATGAGCCATGTGCTGCAGTAACAGCTGGACGATCTCTGTCTTCCCCAGACGGGACGCGATGTGGAGGGGGGTCTGGTCCTCCTGCAGGGATGGAACTGAAGGCTTTAGGGTGCTGGCCAGCTCTCGGCTGGTTAACCACCATGTATCCCAGCCCCCCCGGGTGACATTCTGTGTAAATGCCATATTTGAAAAGACAACATTTTACTAGCCATTGGGTTAGTTTGGCACATTTTCAACTAGGTGGTCTAAAAATGACTGACTTCAAGCTAGTGGGCTAACTTCCTTCCCTGGCTATACATGTCATATTTCACCTGCAAATAGAACTGGTCTCAGACTAGTTGGCTAGTGTCATTTCACCTGCAAATAGAACTGGTCTCAGACTAGTTGGCTAGTGTCATTTCACCTGCAAAAAGCACCAAATGTCAATTACACACCAGTAGTAATGAAGGAATAAAAATCCACAAGTTAAATAAAATAGTATTTGAACGGCGCTGCAAAGTAGCTTTTTACTGCAGTCCGTCTGGCCAGTTGTTAGTCTGACTGATCTGGTCAGTTGTTACTGTGACTGGTCTGTCTGGCCAGTTGTTACTGTGACTGGTCTGTCTGGCCAGTTGTTACTGTGACTGGTCTGTCTGGCCAGTTGTTACTGTGACTGGTCTGTCTGGCCAGTTGTTACTGTGACTGGTCTGTCTGGCAAGTTGTTACTGGCAAGTTGTTACTGTGACTGGTCTGTCTGGTCAGTTGTTCCTGTGACTGGTCTGTCTGGCCAGTTTTTACTGTGACTGGTCTGTCTGGCCAGTTGTTACTGTGACTGGTCTGGCCAGTTGTTACTGTGACTGGTCTGTCTGGTCAGTTGTTCCTGTGACTGGTCTGTCTGGCCAATTGTTACTGTGACTGGTCCGTCTGGCCAGTTGTTACTTTGACTGGTCTGTCTGGTCAGTTGTTCCTGTGACTGGTCTGTCTGGCCAGTTGTTACTGTGACTGGTCTGTCTGGCCAGTTGTTGTGTGTACAACTTCCAGAATTATGATTGGCTGTCATTCGCACGGTTGACAACAATAGCAAAAACATTAGAAATCCCACACACACACTAAATGACTCACTCTTGCCACGGCGTCGACCAGAGCTCCGTTCCTCAGGAGACATCGAACCACCTCCATCTGACCAGCTCGGGCAGCCATGTGTAACGCTGTCTCACCACGCTACACACACACACACACAACCACACACAACCACACATTAGAACACACACCATTAGAACACACACCATTAGAGCACACACCATTAGAACACACACCATTAGAACACACACCATTAGAACACACACCATTAGAGCACACACCATTAGAACACACACCATTAGAACACACACCATTAGAACACAAACACAACCACCTCCACTACCAGCTAAAAAGTATGTTGTGATTGGTCAATACTGACTGTAAAACACAGGAAGTGGGTGTGTAGATTTGTAGACATGGAATCACTGGTCACTTTAATAATGGAACACTAGTCACTTTAATAATGTTTACATACTGCTTTACTCATTTCATATGTATATACTGTATTCTACTGTATTTTAGTCAATGCCACTCAGAGATTGCTCATCCTAATATTTATATATTTCTTAATTATATTCTTCTACCTTTAGATTCGTGTGTATATGTTGTGTATTGTTAGATACTACTGCACCGTTGGATCTAGGAACACAAGCGATTTCGCTACACCCGCAATAACATCTGCTAAACGTGTGTACGTGACCAATAACATTTGATTTGATTTGATCCCGTCCTCACGATGTTGCAGACGTCAGGCGAGGCTCCGCTCTGCAGCAGCATCAGCACCATGTTGAGGTGACCCATGAAGGCTGATACATGGATAGGGGTCAGACCAGACTCCGTCACGGCCTGGATGGAGGCTCCGTATTTCACCAGCAGCTCCATCACCTTCACTCGGTTCTTCTTGCAGGCGATGTGCAGCGGAGTGAACCCGTTCTGGCCGCACGGGAAAAACCACACGGCAACGTTATGAGAAAAAAAAAACGTTCAAAACAACGTAACTCAAAACATTCAACTAACGTTGTGGTTACTTTAAAGATATGTATTGTGGTGACATGAATCAACTAGTGAAAAATAAATTGTGTTAGTGTGTGTGTGTGTGTGTGTGTATTAGGTTGTACCAGTGTGTGTGTGTTAGGTCCATACCAGTGTGTGTGTATTAGGTCCATACCAGTGTGTGTGTATTAGGTCCATACCAGTGTGTGTGTATTAGGTTGTACCAGTGTGTGTGTATTAGGTCCATACCAGGTGTTTTTGTTTTGGTTGTCCCTTGTGTGTGTATTAGGTTTACCAGTTGTGTGTATAATCCATACCAGTGTGTGGTATTGGGTTTGTCCATGTGTGGTGTATTAGGTTGTCCCAGTGTTGTCTTTTTGGGGGTCCGTCCAGTGGTGTGTATTAGGTTGTCCCAGGTGTGTGGTTGGGGTCCGTACCAGTGTGTGTGTTTGGTTGTACCAGGTGTGTGTGTTGGCCCCGTCCCAGTGTGTGTGGGGTTAGGTTGTACCATGGTGTGTTTAGGTTGTACCAGGGGGTTTGTGTGTTTAGGTCCGTCCCAGGGGTTGGTTTTGGTTTTCCATTTTTGTCTGTTAGGCCCCTCCAGGGGGTGTTATTGGGGTTGTACCGTGTGTGTGTGTTAGGTCCTCCATTGTTGTTTTTTTAGGTTGTACCAGTGTGTGTGTGTTGGGCCCGTACCGTTTTTGGGTGATAGGTTTACCGGGGGTTTTGGGTGTCCCAGGGGTGTGTATTAGGTCCGTACCAGTTTGTTGTATTGGTTGTACCGTGTGGGTATTGGGGCCCGTACCAGTGGTGTGTGTGTATTAGGTTTCCAGTGTGTGTTGTTATTTTACCATGTGTGTTTGTGGGTTGGCCTACCAGTGCCCTGACTTTGGGGGTTGGCCCTCTTGTCCAAACAGCAGTTGGTGATCTGTATCCCCACAGTGGGCGGCGAAGCAGGCCGTCAGGTATCCAGGGTAAATCTCAACGCGCCTTGTTCTGCGCAGGTGTTTTAACCTCCAAAGGGTTCCCTGGGGGAATGTGGAGGGCGGAGAAAACCTTTAAGGGGGGAGGGGAAGAGGGGGGAGATGGGGGAAAAAAGGGGGGGGAAGAAGGGGGGAGAAGGGGGGGTTTTTAAAAATTCGGGGGGTTTGGGGGGCCCCTTTTTTTAAATTTAACCCCTTTTATCCCCCCCCCCCCGTTTTTTTTTTTTTTTTTATTTTTTTGACTTTTTTTTCCCAATCCCCCTTTTTTTTTTGTTTTTGTTTTTTTCTTCTACTTCTTTTTCCCCCCCCTTTCCCTCTTTTTAAAAAAAATTTTTTCAAAAAAAAAACGGGAAAACGTCACCCCCCAAAAAAAAAATTTTTTAAAAAAAAAAAGGGGGGGGAATTTTTTGTTGTTTCTGTAACCCCGGAGTTCTTTCTACCCTCCTCCTCGTTCTATCCCCCGTAAGTCTCATAAAACAAAGTGGCGAAAATTCTCACCAAAACATAAGAATTATTCGTGTGGTTTGTTTTTTATGTGTGTGTTTGTGTGTGTGTGGGGTGGGTATTGTGTGTTGGGTTTATGTGTGGTTGGGTTTTATTTGTTGGGTGTTTTGTTTGTGTGGTTTGGTGAGGTGGTTGGTGTTGTATTGTGTTGGGGTGTGTGTGTGTGTGTGTGTTTGGGGTTTTTGTGTGTGTGTGTTTGGGGTTGGGGTGTGGGTGTGGTTTTATTGGTTTTTGTGTGTGTGTGGTGGTGTGTTTTTGGGTGGGGTGTGTGTTTGTTGTGTGGTGTGGGTGTGTTGTGTGTGTGTGTGTGTTGTAGTGTGTGTGTTTTGTTTGTGTGTGTGTGTGTGTGGTTGTGTGTGTTTGGTGTTGGTTGTGTTTGGTGTTTTGTTTTGGGGTTGTGTGTGTGTGGGGGTTGGTTGTAGTGTTGGTGTGTGTGTGTTTTGTGTGTGTGTGTGGTGTGTGTGTGTGTTTGGGTGTGGGTTTTGTTTTGTGTGGTATTGTTTTGTTTTGGGGTGTTGTGTACCTGGCCCTTTCCCCCCCGTGGGGGGCTCCCCCTTTTCCCGCAGCAGTTCTACGGCGGGGTCATGTCCGCTCCGCGCTCCACAGTGCAGGGGGGTAAGGCCGTCCTGAAAACAAAACAGCAGATAAAAACCCCCCCCTTTTTTCCCCGAAACCCCCCTTTTCCCGGGCCCCTTCCCCCTTTTCCCAGTCCCCCCCCCTTTCCCAGTCTCCCCCTTTTTCCAGCCCGACTGACGTCTGCTACTTTTAATTTTCCAAAACGCAGGTGGAGCCAAGTAAAGGAAACGTGTAAAAAATTGGGGTTTGGAGAGAGAGACCCCCAGGGGGCCCATCACGCAGACCACAGGGAGCCCACACACCCAACCACGGGGAAAGTAAATCACAGCAGACCACGGGGGTCATCACAGGGGAGAGAGAGACCAAAAAGGGGGTTTTCATCACAGCAGACCCAGGGCGCACCCCACAGCAGACCCCCGGGGGTCATCACAGCGAACCACGGGGAGTATAACACCCACACCACGGGGGGCCCATCACAGCAGCCACGGGGGGTAATCACACGCCCAACAGTGGACTCACAGAAACCCAACGGGGGAGCTCAAAAACGACCCCCGGGGGTCTAAAGCAGACCACGGGGGGCCCTCACAGCAGCCCCCCAGGGATTCATCACAGCAGACCACAGGGAGTCATCACAGCAGACCACAGGGGGTCATCACAGCAGACCACAGGGAGTCACACGCAGCCCACGGGGAGCCCAACACAGCAGACCCCAGGGAGTCATCACAAAAGACCAGGGAAAGTCATCACGCAGCAAACCAAAAGGGAGCCCTAAAGCAGCCACAGGGTCATCACGCGCCCACGGGAGTCATCACAGAAACCCCCAGGGAGCCCCTCAACAGCAAAACCCAAGGGGTCATCAAAACGGGACCACGGGGACCCAATCACAGCGCCCCAAAAGGGCGTCTCACAGAAAAAGGGGAACCACAAGGGCGTCAACACCCGCCCCCAACAGGGGGGGTCATCACAGCAGACCCAGGGAGCCCATCACAGCAGACCAGGGGGAGTCATCACAAGGGGGAGCCCAAAGGGGTCATCACAGAAACCACGGGGGTTCATAAACAGCAGACCACAGGGGGCCCTCACACGGGAACCACAGGGAGTCATCACGGGAGGAGAGGACCACAGGGGGTCATCAAAAGGAAAGACCAGGGGGAGTCATCACGCAGCCCAACAGGGGTCATAAACACAGCCCACAGGGATTTCCATCACAGAGGGAGAGAGACCACAGGGGGTCATCACAGCGAAACAGGACTTTCATACAGCAGCCCACGGGGGGTTTAAATCAAAGCAGACCAACAGGGGGTAAAATCACAGCAGCAAAAAGGGGGAAACAAAAACCACGGGGGGTCTCACAGCAACCACAGGGCGTCATCACAGCAGACCAAAAGGTGGCGCATACAGCAAACCCGGGCCCGTCATCACGCAGCAAGAGGGGGCCGCCACAGGGAGTCATCACACACAAGATGGGACAGGACCACAGGGATTCATCACAGCAGCAAGAGGGGACAAACCAAAGGGAGCCCATCACGGGCAGCAAGAGGGGACAAAACCACGGGGATTTCATCACGCACAAATGGGACAGACCACGGGGGAGTCACCCACAGCGGGCCCAACAGGGAGTCATCACAGCAGACCACGGGGGGTTTCATCCCCGCAGACCACAGGGCTTTCATAAAAACAGACCACAGGGGGGCACCCCGCGGGACCCAGGGGGGGCCCTCAAAAAAAACCCCCACGGGGGGTCATAACAGCAGCCCAAGGGGAGTAATCACGGGGCAACCCCCAGGGAGCCCATCACCAGACCACGGGGGGAAATAAAAAGCAGCCACAGGGGGGGTAAAATCACAGCAGCCCAACGGGAGTCATCAGCAGCCACAGGGGCCCATCACCGGGCCCACAGGGAAAAAACCCCAAGCGGGACCAGGGAGTCTAAACAGCAGCCCAAAAAGGGAGTCACACCAGACCACAGGGATCCCCACAGAAAGCGACCACGGGGAAGTCTCACACAAAACCACGGGGAGTCTTTCAAGCAGACCCCCGGGATCATCACAGCGACCCAGGGGTCACCCAACAGCAGCGACCCACAGGGAGTCATCAAGCAGACCACAGGGATTTCATCACAGAAGACCACAGGGCGTCACACAGAGAAGAGGGGGCCCACAGGGCGTCTCCGCAGCCAAAAGGAGTCATACAGCAGACCAAACCGGGGCCCTCAAAAACCAGGCCCAAACAGGGAGCCCATCACAGAGAAGAGAGACCCCCG